AATTGGGTTTCTTTTTCCCAAGTTTGCAGATAAGACGTTTAGCCATCTTGACACCTTTTTTTTCGTAAGAATCACTGAGAAACATTTTGAGTTATCCAGCTCGAAAGGGAACAGGTTAAAACACTTTCTTCTCAATTGAGCAATGGTAAGTGGAAAGTCATTCAGGCCTTCAGTAATGATACCAAAATTCATACTCTGGCTTCCATGTTCAAAGTACATTAAAGATCAATCAACGTTTCAACTTAGAGCTAAAGAGACCAATTAGAAAAAAAAAACTCAATCCATAAGACGTTTGGCACATGAGAGAGGAATTTTCAATATAACAGTCCAAAGAGCAGTGAAAAAACTTGAAAATAAAATCGTACGTGAAACGTGTGAGGCACCATGTGTGTCAGAAAGTTAGAATATCTTGAATAAGGTGGAAAATGATAATGGAATTATATATATATATATATATATATATATATATATATATATATATATATGAACTTTATTCCCATCCTTCATGAGCTTTAGATGAATTAATGATGAACATGTCATTTTCGTTTATGATCGATTTCATCACGATTCTTCTGTTAAGCTTAATTATATATTCTTATTGCTCAAAGGAGAGTCCGATAGTGTTATAAAAACCTCGGAGAATTCCAGTAAGATATCTTTCATCATTTCTAAAATACAACGATTCAGAGCTTAATCTAATTATTGGAAAATTTTGTTGTTACACGGTTTGGACAAATCTGCTGTTACAACCAGTATATATATATATATATATATATATATATATATATATATATATATATATATATATATGTGTGTGTGCCCCTGTACGCCGGTATTAGTGTGGTTAACCCATCCCTGTTGCAGGGCCTTTCTCTGACGCATTTGTGTTTATTCAACACCCACAGATCCCACCAATGGTTTATACTGCGACTATGCTGAGGGACCTTAGTTACAGTTTCTGGGAAAGAGCGCATTATCTGGTTTGTTCAACAGTCTGATCACGGCCAGTAATCTCAAACAAAGCCAATATGCTCAAACCTTCGGTGTGAGTTCGCGCTAGCACAACAATCGACCGCTACCAGATAGTTCCGCCTGCCCAATTTCACTCACAAGGCTTGAGGCAACGCGTGGTATTGTTTTCCAGAACTTTCCAAACGTGTTGCACGCTTGATCGCCTCCTTATCCATGAGAATAACATTATGAAGTTAACTTCCTGACAAAGCAACCTTGGTTTCATCGTCGAAAAGTGAATATTCTAACAACTCAGCCATGTGCCCATAACGTATATATATATATATATATATATATATATATATATATATATATATATATATATATGTGTGTGTGTGTGTGTGTGTGTGTGTGTTGTGGTAGGATCCACCTAATTTGCATAGTGGAGTACCGACCATATAAATATGGTTGGTACTGGAAGAGAGAGGGAGGAATCAAGAGATTCAACCAGAGACTCTGCCCGACTGCGACTCAGTCAACACATTCTCCAGGAAACTGGTCTTACCAGGAATATATAAAAAGACTATATGTAAATATTGTGTACACTTTCTTGTTTCAATACATTTTGTTCTAAGTACATTTTGTGTTGCATTATTATTCCATGCATTAGTCAAGTTTCAACAGTGTGTAAGAAAGAATAGTATGCGCCAACAAAAAAGGGATCGATCCAAGTATTTCTCGAAGATAACGTTTTTAAGGCAAGCAGTTTTTGCAGTTAAAGAGCTCAATATGAAGTAATGGATAAAACCAAATGTTAACTAATCTAAATTATCTTGTTTCATTCTTGAATTTCGCGAAGATTACTTCCAATCTACGGGCCGTCCTGGGTAAGACGACAAACTTCGTCCAACAGCAAGGCCTCTGATCAGGAGATTTTGAGGAGCATGGAACCACCTCTTAATTGCTGTTGTTCCCAGGTCCAACCTGACCCATGGTGGTAGCACCTGCTAGGGTCTCAGCTATGGGCAAATAGTTAACACCCAAACTTGGGTCAAAATACAATGAAAGTATAAAAATAGGTTTTAATACGAAAATAATACGTAAAAAAATTATTACCAGAAATACATTTTTTGAAAAAAACAATTACCAGCGAAGGAAAATTCTTACTAGAAATAGATTTTTGAAGGAAAAAATATTAAGAAAAATAGATTTTTGGAAAAAAATATGACCAACAATGAAAATTTTGTCGGCATTAAATAACCCATTGAGGTTGATATGCCGTAAAACAAAACAAACCAATCTGCAAGGGATATGATCGTAAAATTAAAATTTGAATCATAATTCATTTTTAATATGATTTTTGAAAATGTCTTTTAAGGAAAATATGATTTTCGAAAATAAATTCAATTTTACTAGCGGTGAGGGAAATAAATAAACACTTATAACCAGTGTTTGTAATATATATATATATATATATATATATATATATATATATATATATATATATATATATATATATATATGTATGTATGTATGTATGTGTCAAAATCCGTGTAAGTAAGTAATCCAAGGAAAATCTTAATAATATAAAATATTAAAACTGATCCACAAACGAGAGCTCAGTACAGAGCATATAAAAGAATTACTAAAAGAATTACATATACATTACATATAAATGTTTTGGTATTGACAAGCTCCAGAATTTTGAGAGGAGCGAAATGGCCATGTAAATGGGGGTACAATTGAATTTCCTTTGTATGCAATTCACACACACACATAATATATATATATATATATATATATATATATATATATATATAGTCCGTCTGAAGTTATGCAAAATACTATCAATCTCAATAACTCAAAATTGCTTTGAACAAATTTTGAAAAAACTTAAACTATGAATTTAAAAAAAAAAAAAACTTGAGTTAAATTTTATTAAAGTTATTGGGTTGAGTGTGGGATTTTGTGTGTATTTCTTCAGCCCTCAGTATTATACATGTAAGTTTGATATTATCGATAAAACCATTATTCGTCTGAAGATGTTCCTTCTTGGAACGAAAGCCGTATCGTATGAGCTGCTGTCTATTTTTAAGATTTTTTCATTCATCTCTCCCCCCCTCTCTCTCTCTCTCTCTCTCTCTCTCTCTCTCTATATATATATATATATATATGAAGAAATATAGTCATAGGATGTGCTATATTTATGGGATAAAATGCTCACTATCAGAGATAGAGCGTGTGTAAGTATAAAAGTGAACATAGAAGTCAACACTTAGAGGCGACAGTCTGTTTAATCGTCAGGCCTCTAAGTGATGACTTCTATGTTCACTGTTATATATATATATATATATATATATATATATATATATATATATATAATTAAAGTAAAAGAATAAGCGTTATTGGGACCAACGGACAGCTTGCCAAAAGCTAAACTCTTATCTTTATACAGTCTTGGATAAAAAGAAAATACTCAAAAAACAGAAAGCGAAAAGAGGCATGAAAAGCAAGCTTGCCGACTAAGTATGAAACAATATAGTTCATGCCACTTTGACAGTAAAATTTACCAGTAAAAAAATTTGTTCATCACCATATTTGGTATAAACGCAAACACTTTTAAAAATTTTAAAATCAAACTCAGCGTTGCTTTTGCGCGTTCAAAACCAATAACTCATTTTCAATAGCATTTTGATACAATAACACATATATTTTCGATGTCCTTTATTACTAAGAGAAAAAAACAAGAACAACATCTATTATATACCATTTGAAGATGTCTGTAGGAACAGACGAAAGCTTGTAGTAAAAAATAACAACTAATACGGCAGAAATTTATATAAACAAGGATCAATTCATTCATAATGGATCTGGAGGTTTTTGTGTACTATTTGAATTGTTTGCGATGATGGATGTCTCGCCATTTAAATCATTAACCTTTGTATTAGTTTTTGGCTGTGAATAATTCATGTATTTGTAAATTGATTGCACGTTTATTATATATATATATATATATATATATATATATATATATATATATATATATATGTGTGTGTGTGTGTGTGAGAGAGAGAGAGTGTGTGTGTGTGTGTTTAGAAATGAGAATTGTTACTTAGAAAAGGATATACTAAGGACTAACTACAAATTTGGTTTTGTTTTGATTTTTTTATTGCTACTTATATGATGCTGAAAGTTTTCCTAACTAAATAAGTTAAAGTTATTAGAAACGCTCAATCGGACTCTAATACTTTTGTCATTGGACACGGGACTCAATTACACGCAGAAAATGTTTTATTTCAAGAAACAACGCAAAAATAATTATCCAAAGTAATTGCGCGTCTCGGCCTTGTCTTATATTTGCTAACTTTTTCTTTTTTGTTTTACCTTCCTAATAGTTTCGGAAGACCGCGGAATTGTGCAGCAGGCGGTAGAGAGCACATCAACAAAACAGGTAAGATAACTCTTTCAGATTAACTTTCCCCGCGGTGATCTTTCAACAGTGAAGAATAGAATTTACCTGGCTGGTTATCCATATATATATATATATATATATATATATATATATATATATATATATATATATATATATCGACGTTGCTCGACCTTTCTCATCAAGCATTCATTTTTTTTTTTTTCCACTCTGCTACCTTCCCTGTGCAGTTGAAAATAGCTTCCAGCTCAGCTCAGACGCCATGTATCGAAGTGATTGACACTGTTCTTTTTTCTACTTTTTTTTTCTTTGAAGGACAAGAAATCGTCCAGTAGTAAACGGTCCAGGGCATTTGGCAGGATCGCTGCAAGGTGCAGGGGTTGTATAGGGTCGTAGCCTTTACAAGACGCGTTGAGTGTAGAAATGGAAGGCTTTTCGTGTCCGTGAGTTGGTCAAATCACGTTGGGCTTGCTTTGTTGGTTGGTTGGTTGGCTGGCTGCAGTCGAGACAGTTTTATCCTTTGACTGACATTTAAGAATTACCGCCATCCCCATACGACTGATAGATGACCATCACGCATGATTTCGATCGCAGCTGCAGGAAATCCACCGGGAATAGACTAGATCACTAGTAATACGCAAAGAAGTGAGGTGACATGGTGTGACGGCCGGTCTTGAGGCGGAAGGATCGTAGGTATGTGAGAGAAAGGAATGTAAAAATAGAAAAAAAATAGAGAGAGAGAAAGACAGAGTGAGTGGATTAAAGCAAGATTATAGAGAGGAAGTGGTATAGTACTGTCAGTGGTGTCGATGTCGATAATGATATATAAGAGATTTGGATGAAAAAATACAAGAATTATAGAATATAAGAAGGAGATACAGAGAAAAAGAGTCTGGGGTAGAGAAAGTGAAATTACGAAATGAATAAAAGAAAGAAGAAGAAAGCACTGAACTAGAAAGACAGGAAAAAAATTAATATAAAAGAAAGAAATCGAAAGGAAAGAGAGAGGAAAAAGAAAAAAAACGATGAAAGAAATCAAACAGAAAGAAAGAAAGAAATTTAAAGAAAGGAAAAAAAATCTAAAGAGAGAAGGAAAGAAAGAAAGAAATCGAAAGGAAAGAGAAAAGAAAAAGAAAATAAACGATGAAAGAAATAAAAAAGAAAAAACAAAGAAAGAAATCTAATGAAAGAAAAAAATCTGAAGAAAGGATGAAAGAAATCCTAAGAAAAGAGAGAAGAAAAGAAAAAAACGATGAAAAGAAGAAAAAAGAAAGAAATTTAAAGAAAGAAAGAAATCTAAAAGTAAGAAAGACAAAAGAAAGGAGTGAAGAAGAGAAATAAGAAAGTACGAAAGCAAAAAAAAAAAAAAAAAAACCCAGAATAACAAAAACATGAACTAAGGGAAATAAAAGTAAAAAATTAAAAAAATGAAATGAAATAATGTTACGAAAAGGAAGAGGAGAAACTGTGATGAAAAATAAAAGTAGAAAGAACAAGGAAAGGAATAATAAAGTAAATTTGCAAAGAGGCCAATAGGAAAAAATATAGAATGTTTTATGATAGCAGGAAAACTTCAAAATAGAGAACCAATGATAAAACAAGACAGCAATCAAAAATGTGAATCAAATTCGAAGGGAAAAAGAAGTAGAATAAATGGAAAGAAAGAAAGAAAGAAAGAAAGAAAGAAAGAAAGAAAGAAAGAAAGAAAAGTGGAGGTTTGGAGGGGAAATCATACGAAGAAAGAAAGAAAGAAAGAAAGAAAGAAAGAAAGAAAGAAAGAAAGAAAGAAAGAAAGAAAAGTGGAGGTTTGGAGGAAATTATAAGAAAGAGAAAGAAAGAAAGAAAGAAAGAAAAAAAAGAAAGAAAGAAAGAAAGAAAAAAAGTGGAGGCTTGGAGGGAAATCATAAGAAAGAAAGAAAGAAAGAAAGAAAGAAAGAAAAGAAAGAAAGAAAAAAGAAAAAAAGGAAGGTTTGGAGGGGAAATCATACAAAGAAAGAAAGAAAGAAAGAAAGAAAGAAAGAAAGAAAGAAAGAAAGAAAAGTGAAGGTTTGGAGGGGAAATCATACGAAGAAAGAAAGAAAGAAAGAAAGAAAGAAAGAAAGAAAGAAAGAAAGAAAGAAATTGCTGAATATTAGTATATTAAAGTGAAGCAAAGTGGAAAACTAACCAAAGCAAAAAAAAAAAAAAAAAAAAAAAAAAAAAAAGAAACAAAAAGAAATAAGATAAAAAGAAGAACTGAAGAAAGAAAAGTTACAAATAAACAGAAACAATACAATTAAGAAAATAATCGAAAATACAAACTATATAAAATAGAAATCCGGAAGAGGTGGGAGAGGTATTGCTAGGTATTAATACCACACATACATATACACACAAAAATGTCGGCTACGATATTATCTATGGTTCAATGATGGTTGTCAGGTGTATGGCCCCAAGGGAGGAGAAAGCAACTGACCAAATCTCTTGCTATCCGTGATAATTACCTGATCAAATATAGATAGTCGAAATGTCTCTGACTTTGAAGTAATTGATTATAAGGGCTCTTTATAGAAAAGCAGGTTAAAATGTCAACCATGTTTTAAATAATATACGCAAATGGGTAGAAATAAAAAGATTTGAAATTGACAATATGTTCTATTTCACTGAAACAGCCGTTAAACACGTCTATACTCCTGTCATATAGAAATAAAGTGTCGCTGCCGACACTTGGGTTTGAACACGGATCACCAGAGAGCAAGCACAGTCGACCTCATCTTGAAATAATTAGATCACATGACGGGTAAATGGAAAAAAAATATATATATATATATGGGAATTAACGCGGCGTCTGACCTATTTACTTTTATTGTATCTGTGATTTACAAAGTCTCTCCTAGAAACGGGAACTACAAATCTTTTTTTCTTTTTTCTTTCTTTTTCTCATTGAAACTAAATAGTGTCTTTCTCCTCTTTCCACGCGATCAAAAAGGAATAATTCATTATTGATGATGCACTGGCATGGCGTAACGTTCGTGCGATCTATCGAAGTGAAGAACAGGCACAATTATAATAGAATAATAATAATAATAATGATTACAGATGTCCTGTTAAGCTGTTTGAAACCATTCTTTACCAAGTCTTATATGTGACATGAATTAAAGTGAGGTTTGTCTTACAAAGTTATTGGATATATTTAATTAAGTTTTTCTGAGTATATTTTTTTTTTAAATCATTTGACTACAAGCAAAGCGATATTGCCAATAAGCGCTAAAGGTTACTGAGAGGGAAGAGAATGAGAATACTTTCGTGAGGAGAAAGGACAATAAAAGAACAGAATTCAAGAAGAAAGATGACAATCAACGTTCCATTTTATATTTTTGAAGATCGTAGATGGAAGGAAATCAAGAAACTGGAAGGGAGCTCCATAAACGAGAAGTGCGAGAAAAGAAACTATCAGAACTTACAGTTGCATCTTATAAATTCAACAGTAAAACGATGGGACCTAATAGCCAATCTAGTACTACGCTTAATTTCATGCGATCGCGGTAAAAAGGAGGAGAGCTCATTGAAACAACTACCATGAAAATACTTATAGTTTGGTAATGCGTTTTAAATAATTTATAGAGGTTACTTGTTGTGAGGACTATAACCACGCCATGACTCGAAACAGAATCTCGGATATGATGATTTTTGAATCTTTTACTTTAGTGAAAACAAATGCAAACAGCTGGGCGTGGTGGTTTGCAGCTAGCTTGTGCCTTGGTATCACAGCACAAAAGCAAACTGTCACGGAAGAGTTATGCGAAATGGTTAGAGAAAATACTAATGAGTTTTGCTAAAGTGGCATCCGAAGAGAAAATGTAGTCGTCAATTCCGTGTTCTAATATTTAGCTCTAAATCAAGAATTCAGAATTCAGATGCAGTGTAAATATTAAGCAGGGATTTAGAATATTGCATTGTCATATTTATTGAGATAAAAGGGCGTCCGAAAATATTTCGGCGAATTCACTCATGAGACCTATTTTCCAACCAAGTAATACGCTTAGATTCATTCAATCGAGATCCAAAGGAAAGCTAATTAGAAAAAATTTCCATTACAATGTTTATAGAAAAGGCAGAGGGAAGCCACGTCGCGGCGTTAGGAAAGTGACACAAGTCGAGATGCCAGGTCAGGACCAATAACATTACAGAGCATTCTTTGGGTTTTATCGGGAATCTCGAGATCGCTGGAGAACTACACCTGATATGACAGTAATATTCAATGCACGGACGAATAGTAGATTATTAATGTGCAAGATGTATTCTGACGAGAAAAAATTTCTGGCACGCAGACCTAGCAATTGATTCAATATAATCATTCCACTGTATGTCAATGTAAGACATGAAACCAAGAAGGTGCAATCAGTTGCTCTCCTGAAGGTTAGCATCAGCCATGCTGGTGGAAAGTAAAAATGATTCTCGATGATATGTATGCTTTATGTTGTAGTTTTCTTGAAGTTATATTTTGGAATACAGTTTGATTTCTTTAAGAAATTGTAGAATATTATATGGACTGATGTCAAGAAAGAGTTCTTTCAAGTTGATTGTTTTGCTGTTTGATTTTGTTTAGCGGCATACCAACACCCCTGTGGGTTGTTTAATGGCGAAATCTAGATATTTTGAACAAAATTTTATGGTTTCAACTCAATATATATTATAAATAGATAATGTTGGTAATTTTACTATAAATAGGTACTGTTGGTAATTTTTTTCTATAAAAATGTATTGCTGGCATTTTTTTTTCTATAAAATGTATTTTTATACTTTCCTAGTGCTTTGTTTTTGTTTTGGGGTTCACTATTTTCGCATAGCTGAAACCCTAACAGGTGCTGTCCCCCTGGGTCAGGGTGGACCTGCGAACAACAGCAATTAAGAGGTGGTTCCACGCTCCATAAAACCTTCGAACTTCCGATCAGAGGTCTTACTGCCAGATGTAGTTTATCATCATGCCCAGGACTAGACTGGAAGCTATCATGACGAACAAAGATTCTTCCACAAAGTATTAGGCTCTATTTGATTCTACTTAAATAAACTGGTCAACTCGTAATAAATGTAGGAATAAAATTATTTTAGAAATAGTTTTTTGTATATCAGCATATTTTAGGCCGCCATACTTGTTAAAACAATTTTTTTATCGATTTAGAAGTGGTGTTCTGTTTATAATATCGATATCGTGTCAAATTGCCCCTTGACTTTTACAGAGTTATTGGACTTTTGTGAACGAAAACAGACTTTTCGAGAGAGTGACACAATTTATTTTAAGAAAAGAGTACTCAACTGTTATTTATGTATATCATTTCTCGTATATGGCAGTGAATGTTGGACAATCTCCTCACAGATGAAGAAAAGACATGAGGCAACAGAAATGTGGTTCTACAGAAGGATGCTGACAATACCATAGATTAAACATGTGAATAATGACAACGTTTTAGAGAAAATAAAAGCAAAAATGACACTCAACCATTCGCCCTTGCATGGAGTATTGGTGCCATATATGGTCCGGTGGCCCTTCTGTTTGTCTCAAGGTTCTTGATAAGATCTAGAGACGGATATGCAATGTAATTGTCCCTGATCTGGCATCTCATCTGCAGTCGCTCTCTCACAGACGTGCCGTCGCCTCTCTCTCTTTTTTTACAAATACTTTCATGGTAGCTGCCCCGATGAGCTGCTTTAACTGGTTCCCAGATTTTATGAATTTAAGCGTCCTGCGAGGCTGGCATCTCGCTCTCACCCTTTCACTGTCGAAACTGTTAAATGTAGCTGTCTCTTCTATTCCAATAGCTTCATGTCTCACACCTCTTGCCTGTGGAACTCCCTTCCCTTTTCCTGTTTTCCTGATAGCTATAATCTCCAACTATTCAAATGTAATGTCAATCGACGTCTCCAGATGCCTTGATCTATCACCTATCCTTCTCTTCATCCTTTTCTCTATCACTTCTCTTTGCTCTCAATCCAACTCTCTGTAACCCCTTGCTTGCTAGTGGCTTCCCTCCTTGCTTGGGATGAAACGCTTAAAAAAAAACAACTTATACTTAACATCAGAAAGAGATAGTTGAAATTTCTAGGGCTCATAATGAGAGAAGAGGGCTTGGAAACTTTGACACACCCAGGACACTTGGATGGCAGAACAGGGTTTAGGAGATATACCAAAAAGGCAATATTTACTAATAGCTACAAAGGACAGAAAATTGTGGAGAGCCATGATCGCCAACTTCCTAAAGAGGCATTGCACATAGAAGAAGATACATTTTATACATATCTCAATATATCGTGTCCTTTGGCGAAAAATATTCTCTTTAATGTATTTTTCTTTTCTTTCTTTTTTTTCTTTTTTATCAACTCTTTGCAGGTTATTTAAAGCCAGAAAATAGTGTTACACTTTCACATTTGGTGGCGGGGAGATAATAATAATTTAGTAATTTAGCTTTATTATTTAACCCATAACTGGGGCAAGAAATGGGTTCATACCTTTCCTAGGGATATTTGTGCGTAAGTGAAAATATAACGAACACAGCGGGAATTGGAACTCGGCTCTCTGATTAATAATTCTGAGCCATTATCCTTTACACCACCCGCATATCCAACCTTGCAGTACCGGGTATTCCCAGTTCTACATAATAATAGCTTAGGATATTTTATGTCTTTCCTTGAAGTGAGTGCTGTTTAGGATTTTGGTATTATCTTCTAATATTTGTCTCATGTTAATAGTTGCGTTTTGCTTGTATTTTGGTTGTTTGTGGTGCAATTGTTGATATAGAAAGAAAGACATTTATAAATCCAAGACAGATTTTAATAGATAAGACCAAATGTCACCAATGGAACGTGTTGATATTCCATAGTTCATACTTCACTTTGTTTTGGATACTATTTCCCAAAAATTAACAAATCAAATTAAGAACGACATTATGCAGTTAGGTTCAAATAAATATATCGTGAAAGGCGAAAGATGAAAAGCAAACGGAAAGACTTGTAACGAAACAGAACAATCGATACACAACTCTGCTTGGAGGAAATGTGCAGAGTTTCTGAAAGACTGGAATTAAAACATGGACGGTTTAATTATTGAATGCGAGGAGCTTAATCTACTTTGATTAAAATTGTCAAAT